TTGCGCAAGGTTGTTTGATCTCTTCGTTGGGGTGGTTTTTTATTTTGTTTAGTTTCAGAATAATGTGTGAATGTTAGCACGAAGCACAATGCCGCTATTTTTTTAAACACGCAATCTTTGTTGTTCCACTCGAAAAGCTCTCCTTTCAATTTCCGTAAAACATGTGTCTTGGTGACTTTGAGACCTTTTTTTGTTTTGCTCTTAAGCAACTTAGTGATTTTTAAAACGTTATTATTTTTTAAAAAAATAATAAAAACTCCAACTCCAGCGTTGGAGTGATACCGTTCCAGTAGGATCTGCAAACACAAGCTGAAGAGTTCCAAAGGCTATCTGTTCAGTGATTGGCAGAGGCAAGTTTTACCCTCCATTTGTCCTCTGTGTTAATCTTCTTAAATCCTGTCTAAATCCCTTTTAGCTGGCAGAAGCCCTTGAGAATACAGCTTAAGTTTACCGTAATTGCACATTTAAATGTATGGTAATCGTGCACTTAGATAAAAATAAGAAAACTATAATGGGAGAGAAATTATAAGGGTATTTGTTTAATGTAGGTCTATAATTGAGGCTATAAATCTCTTTTCTTTAAATCAAACTATAATGTTGTTTAGCCGTAGGAGAGTCACTAAATATTGTAGGTTAATTGTAGAAAATTCCAAGTTCCTAACAGTTCTGCTAAATTAAAGATCATAGTTGTATTACATTTACTTGTGTCTTGCCTTGTTGCATGTATGTACATATAAATGGAAATAGACAGTTGACCCTTGAACAACGCAGGGATTAGGGGTGTGAACCTCCACATAGTCAAAAATTCTAGTATAATTTTTGACTCACCAAAAACCCAATAGCCCATTGTCCACCAGAAACCTTACTGATGGCATAAACGGTTAATTAACACATATTCTGTATATGTATTATGTGCTGTATTCTTCCAATAAAGTAAGCTAGACAAAAGAACATGTTATTAAGAAAATCAGAGAGAAAATACATTTACAGTACTGTCTGGTATTGTTCAGAAAAAAATCTGCATATAAAAGGACCTGTACAGTTGAAGCCCATGTTGTTCGAGAGTCAGCTATAGAGATGGAAATATTCACATACATAAGAGGTCATGTTACTACATCTCTGTTTGTCATAATTTGTCTTCTGTAGATCAACAGAGAAGAATAAATGTAACCTGTAGAGAAATATTATTGTGTGTGAACTGAGGACCCATAGGCAGCCTCTGTTTTCTTAACTTACATCTATTGCTTTGGACTAGTAATTAGTTTAGCAGTTTACACCAGTTAAAGTAGTTGTTTATGTGCCATCAGTGAATAGAAACATGGGAATTATGATTAAAAAACAAAGTCTTCACCTGGATATCTGTGCCTCTTTACATGAGGCTGTTGTCTTTATATTTTCAAGAAGATACAGGGACAGCTGAAATCGTCAGCTTCTAACCCTGGAAAACTGTTTTGTAATTAATATGACTCAAAAGAGTCCTCTCTAAGGTTTTTGTTTGGGAGTATAGTATGTAAACTTATTTTACTTAAAGGTTAGGTAGGCTTAAACTGGACAGATTCTCTGAGAGCCCCCAATTAGACCTTTTTAAAATCTATGTCATATCCATAATCTTCATCACTCCACCCCTTAAATGACACAAGCTGAGAAATGGCTGGGTCCCCTGTTTATTCTTTCCTGGATATAAGTAGACCCTATGCTGTAGTCACCCTCACTTGAAACAAACTGTGTTTCCAGGTTTATTTGGAAAGTGGTTGGTTAGGCTTGGCATGAAGTTTCTACAATTTCCTCTCCAAAAATGGTTGGGTTTCCAGGCCAATGCAGAAAGTCACCAATGAGTGAATGATCTGTAGTGCTGATAATACTGGTGATGGTGGTGCTTGAGGGTCCTAATAGTGGAAGATAAAGAGATAATTCCACTTTTAGAGGCAAAGTCACTGCGAGGTAAAATTGGACTGTTTCTTGCACCCTGTCACCTCTGCCTTTGGGTTCCCACCTGGCCAGCTCCCTCTTTCATTCCCTTCTCAAGCAAAAGGTCCTTTTCCAGAATTGCCTACATTACTTCCTGCCTATCAGACCCTCAGTGGTAGTCCTCAGTTAGGTATTAACATGAAAGGAAAGATGATGCTATTATCCCACTGAATTTCTGAATTAAGAAATTAGTTGTCTTAGCTCTACTTCCTCCCTTCCTCCTGCACTACTTTCTTCCCCTCCACTGTTTCTGGCCTATTATTTTTATAGTGTCCTGGGTATAGAGCCATATGCAGCCTCGGGGTCTAGTAGGCGTAAGGAGTACCAGTCGCAATTTCCATTTGGTCATTAGCATTTTGGTATTTTAGGGTAAGGAAATGGGTTAGGAATCTTTAAGTGGAGGTGGGGGTGGGTAGGTTTCATTGTGGGGCAGACTCTGCATGGTTTTGAAGGAAAATGGGGGTTGGGGGGCAGTTCCTTTTTCATCAGTGATTGTAAAAGCCAGTTAGAATGGGTTCTTTAGAAGTTGGGGACTACCCTACAAAAAACAAGCAGCCTCAAACCTAATGCAGGTAATAGACTGACTCCATCATTGATTCTCTGATTGATTATCCACACGTTATATTATAGATTACAATCCTACTGATAGGATGAACACTGTGGTCTTATGGACAAATATATTCTCTATATTGTTACTTAACCAAAAGGGATCAGTAAACCTGTAGACAGCACTTTTCCTTAAAAGGGAGGTGTATGCCATCTTAAGTGAGACAAGCTAGAAAAGAGGTCAAACAATTTAACACGTCGATAACAAATTGCAAAATATTGATTTAATAAAATTCTAAATGATAAGGATAAGTGCATTTTAGTCCATGTTTTGTTTAATCATAATACATAGTACAAAAAACAACACAGAGGTGCCCAGTTGGAAGAGCACGTGACCTCATGGAGTCATGAGTTCAGGCCCCATGTTGGATGTAGAGATTGTTTAAAAATAAAATCTAAAGAAAAAAACAAAACCCAAAAGATCTTTCAAAAATAAATTTCCTTATGCAGATAAAGGAAAAAATTAAGAAAAACAAATACATGTGTGGGTCAGGAACCATGGGGGAGGGGTGCTGACTTCCTTTCTATAAATGCCTTAATATTTCAATTCCATGTGTATGTATATTGTAAAGATCACTTACAGAAAACTCCATTTTCAGGCAAATGGGGAATCATTTGCTGGCATCCGTTGCTTAGATTTAAGCTGAAAAAGAAAACCTAAATAGATACGGAATCTACTATTGTGATCTCTTTTTTAAGATCCTGGCCATAGTTAGCACAGCCTAAATTAATTCACACATGACTTTCAAGGGGGTATTATCTATATGAAGTAAAATAAGCAATACCCTAATACACCCCAACCCTGTTCCTTAAAAGTCCCACAGGGTTCCTCCCACCTTTCCTGTGGACGAACACATTCCCGTAATAGGAAACAACACAGTTTTATTGTCCTTCCTTGCACTTTTGCTTCTTCCTCCTGAAAGCCTGCTTTTGGAAGTCATAGGTACTTTGATGTCCTGTGGGTCCGGAATTTCTGCATATAATAGAGAAACAATTTTTTTTAAAGATTTTATTTATTTATTTGACAGAGAGAGATCCCAAGTAGGCAGAGAGGCAGGCAGAGAGAGAGGAGGATGCAGGCTCCCTGCTGAGCAGAGAGCCGGATGTGGGGCTCCATCCCAGGACCCTGAGATCATGACCTGAGCCGAAGGCAGAGGCTTTAACCCACTGAGCCACCCAGGCGCCCAGAGAAACAATTTCGATAATTTTATTTGGTGGCAATGAAACAGTACTACAGTGAAGGCAAAGCAATCTTTGAATGAAGCATCAAATTATAAAAGGCATTTGAAAACAAATTATTTGAATCGTGCCAAGCATTTTGTTACCATCTGGAACTCAGCATAAAGCCTTGTAACAGAATGACAGAGATGTTTAAAAGCAATGTAAGAATGAAATGAGAAGCAGCTCCTTGAAACAGAAGTAGAAGGGAATAACGGGAGGAAACTACTGAATGTCATAATGGGGTACACAGGAAAGCCAGCGCTCTGTTTTGTTTTTCTTCAACTGCGGTAATACAATCAGGACCTACTGAAACCTGTACCTTTCTAATACATATGGACCCACAGTCCCTCAGCTGCGGTTTCAAAATTCACAAAGCTCTGAACAATGAACATTTTAAAATAAATTTGTGCAACATTGCAACTTAACATGAACTGCATGCTGTGATGTCAGCGTTTATTTTTTACTTTGTGGACTTTCCTTAATTTTATTTTACTTTGTGGACTTTGATCAGTTTTCTGCAGCTACATTAAGATGCTGCTTGGGAGGTGTTACATGATCTATGCTATATCCACCATATTACTTTTCTAAAATGTACGGATTCCTGGATTCCAAACACATCTGGCCCAGGGGTTTCACATAAGGGATCATGGGCCAAATTAAACGTAATGCAAAAAGTGATTCAAGGAATGGATATTATAGTTGTCTGATTCTCCAATGTCTGACTTGGAATAATACAGATTATATTCAGTATAAAAGGAATCCTACAAATCATTAAGCCTGTATTTACTGAATATAATGGCATAAATAGCACGGCACCATGTAAATGAAGCAGTCATAAATGAACATTATCAGTCTGTTATATGTGAACCCCATTCCACATAGCACAAAGGACTTACTGACAAATGTTTAACCCACCGGTATGTATATTACAATTCTTCCCTGCGCTTAGGTTACCAGTTAATGAAATGAAATTTCTTTAATGAAATTCTTTCTTCTTGTTCTGTTTTTTTTTTGTTTTTTTGTTTTTTGTTTTTTTTTAAATAGGGTGTTCATAGGAATGGAAGCGCTGTTTCCTTGCCAGATTCCATATCACTCTATCTCATGAACCTTTGTAATCCTGGGGAAGAGCCTGTGTCTAAGGATGACAAACCTGTCACTGGTGTAGCAACAGCAGTCTGAGGGGAAGAAACAACAACAACAAAAAACGAAAATAAAGAAGCGTTTACATTTATATTCAACAAAGAAGTCATTTCAACCGACAACCTCTGGTGCACTGTGTTTCCAAGATGAACCGATACACAACCATGAGACAGCTGGGGGACGGCACCTACGGGAGCGTGCTGATGGGCAAGAGTAACGAATCTGGGGAGCTGGTGGCCATCAAAAGGTACCGTGTGCGACGCTGCCGAGCTTGGAGCTCTGATCTTTCCTTTCCTTTAGAAAGAGTTCTGGTGTAGCCCCCGCGCTTGGTTAGCTGATGGGGGAATGCCATTCTGGAGGGATGCTGCCAGAAGGGAGTTCTGCTTATCCCCACGTACATGGATTGAGTTTTCTGGTTTGTCCGGCTCTACAATTAGGAGCCAAACCTGAAGCTCATGTTTGGAAATTGTTTAGAATTTGAAGTTGAGTGCAGAGTAGAGTTTATTATTTCCTTAAAACGACAGGCCTCAGAATCAGATGGCGTTCATATATGAAACGGAGTTCTGAAGGGTATGTGCTGTTCTCCTAAGCTTACCAATGAAATAGAATTAACTCTTATTAACTTAGTTACTTCTTCTGAATCTACAGTATTTGCTATCTATTATACATTAATAAATTACCCCAAGGCTTGCTGATTTAAGATTTTATTTATTTGTCAGAGAAAAGGAGAGAGAGAGAGCACACAAGCAGGCAGAGAGGCAGGCAGACGCTGAGAGAGAAGCAGGCTCCCTGCCGAGCAAGGAGCCCGATACGGGACTCGATCCCAGATCCCTGGGATCATAACCTGAGCCGAAGGCAGTGGCTTAACCCACTGAGCCACCCAGGTGTCCCCCCCGTGATTTAAAACGGAAACAAACCATTCTGAATTCACAATTTCTGGGTGGTCAGGAATTTAGGAGTAGCTCAGACGGATGGTTCTGGCTCCAAGTGTCTGCTGAGGTGGCAGTCAGCTGCAGGCTGGCCGGGGACCGCAGCATCCCCTGGAAGGTGGCTCCCTGGGTTAGTGGACTTGGGCTGCTGTAATGAAGTACCACAGGTGGGTGGCTTAAACAGAGATTTCTTTCTTCACGGTTCTGACAGGTTCGTGGTCACAGATGACGCTTTCAGCAGGGGCAGTTTCTTCTGCGGCCTCTCTCTGTGACTCGTAGATGGCTGTCTTCTCCCTGTGTCCTCACAGGATCTTCTGCTGTGTGCTAGTCTGTGGCCTAATCTCTTCTTCTTTAAGGACACTAGTAATACAGGATTAGGACCCACCCTAAAGACCTCACGAACCTTAACTGATTCTTTAGAGTCTGTCTCTAAATATAATCACACTCGGATGTTTATAACTTCAACGTATGGATTTGGTGGGGGCAGTTTAGCCAAGAACAGGCTGCTCTAACGAGGTTTCAGCCACAGACTGTGTGTGGTTTCAACCAGGCCGACTTACAGATCTACAGTTCTGGAGGCTAGAAGTCTAAGATCAAGGTGTCAGCACGGTGGGTTCCTTCCGCGGATCTGTTCTAGGTCTTACTCCTTGGCTGATGAATGGCATTTTCTCTCCATATCTCTTCTACATGGTCTTCCCTCTGCATCCAAATTTGCCCTTTTTATAAGAACAGTCATACTGGATTCAGGTTCACCTTAATTTCATTTTAACTTCACTGCCCCTGTAAAGACCCTGTCTCTAAATTAGGTCGCATTCTGAGGTACTGGGGGTTAGGACTTCAGCATATGAATTTATGTGTGTAGTTGGGGGGGGGGACACAGGTTAGCCCACAACACAACACTCACTCACATGGTTGACAAGTGGCCTGTTCACAAGGGCTTCTACAGAGGGTTGTGTGAGTCCTCTCACGACATGGCAGTCGGATTCCTCCAGAATGAGTCCTGGAGACTGATTACCACATCAACCAAATGATGACAGTCTAAAATTGAAAATGCTTTAACAAATGCTCTTCAAATGTTAAAAACTTTGAAATATGATCTAAAGCATTACACATACAAGGAAATAACTTTATAAAATATTGTCAATAGCCATTATTGTCAAATAAATGTACAATGTGCCATAACTGAAATGAAGTATTTACTGAATGGGCTTAATAAAATTCAATACCCACTCATGACTGGGGGAAGAATGCTCTTAGCAAATAGGAATAAAAAGAAACTTCCCTAACCTGGTAAGACTTAAACAATTCATCATCTTTATGTGAAATATTAGAAGGACTGCTGGTAAAGTTGGTTTTAAGACCAGACTGCCTGCTATATTCCTACTAATTAAGATTACTTTGGTGATCCTAATGAGTGCAATAAGAGAAAAAAAAGGAGGCATCAGTATTAGCCAAAATGAGATGAAACCATCCTTATTTACAGATTAAATCATTGTATAAACTCATGCAAATACTTCATTATGTATAAATAAATGTATACATATAAATATTTTTAGTATATATGTTGCTGAAGCAAGCACTATATATAAATGTTTTTAAAGAACTAGAAAGATGCACATATAATTCATGAAAGCTGTGGCTTCTGGGGAGGGGGTAAAAAAATGAGAATGAGGTTAGGCCTGGTGGAATTATGTAAGGTTATTACCACTGTTCTGTTTTACTTAACAAAATGATCTTTATTCCTTGTGGATGGCAAAATCATGTGTTTGTTTCACTGTTCCATTTCACAAGACAGGGAATTGAGTCTCACACAGCATAGACCTAGATAAAGCCTTGAAAGCATTGAAGAGCCAAAACTATAAGAGGTCTGAGGGCTGAGAAGAAGCCATAAGTATATAATTTAGGAATGCTTTGGTATGTGAAATAGAAAACCAAACCAAAAGTTACTTAGACAGGGATTTTTCTCACATAAGAAGTCTTGAAAGAGGCAGCCCAGGGCCAGTACCTTGTCCATGCTGTTAACACAGACCTAGGTTCTTCTGTCTTCAAAACATAGTTGCCTCACCCCTCTCCAGAAGACTTCTGGTTACTTGTCATTGGCTGGAAGTGTGTCACACAGCTCACCTGGCTATAAGGGAGGCTGGGAGACTGAGTACTTAGCTGGGTGTTTGTATCCCTGTAGAGAAGCTGGGATAATAAAGACAAAGAGAAGAGTGGCTTTGGACAGTCAACTCAGTGTCTGCCATATGGCGTTCCTAACTTCAGGAAGGACACGGCAAAAATGAATGAGAAGGGGAGGGATCATGGGGAAGACTTGAAGAAAATTTCAGTATTCATTCAGCGCACACGTGTGAAGCTCCCACACAGTGCTCAGGACAAAAATGGGAAGGAGACAGAGGAATTACAATGTGGTGAGGAAGACTGACAAATTAGACAAGTTACAATACAAAATACCGTTAAGTCCTCTGATGGGGCAATAACGGTCCTAGTGGAGCACAGAGAAATTATGCCGAAGAAGTATGCTGGAAGACTTCCCATAGAATGAGAGATCTCAAGAATGAGAAAAGAATATCAAGAAAAAGAGGAGGTGGGGCACCTGGTGGCTCAGCTGGTTGAGCATCCAACTCTTGGTTTCCACTCAGGTCATGTCAGGGTCATGGGACTGAGCCCCGAGTCTGGCTCTGCACTCAGCGTAGAGTCTGCTTGAGAGTCTCTCCATCCCTCTGCCCCTCCCCTCCAATAAATAAATAAGATTTTTTTTTTAATTAAAAAAAAAAAAGGATGGAGAAGAATGTTCTAAGCAGCAAGGATAATAGGTATGAAGACCTGGATGAGAGAGTGTGAAGAATGTGAGAGAATGTAAAGGCTTGCCTGGGACTGAGGAACTGAAGTAGGGGCTGGAGTGTAGATTCTGAGTGGGGCGGAGGAAGGACCTGATGCCAAAGGGTGAAGCCATGAAGCCTGATGCCAAAGGGTGAAGCCATGAAGCCAGGTTAAAGAGTTTGTCTATCTTGACTAGAAGGTGATGAAGGATTTTAAGCAGGAGAGTTGATGTGATCAAATATTGCTTCAGAATGGTCTCTTTAGCAAAAGAGTGGATACTTGATCAAAGGTGACCAGCCAGGAGACTGAAGCAGCCATCTTGGTTAGAGGTGGCAGTGACCTAATCTAGAAAAACAGCACTGAGTATGGATATAAGTGAAAGTACTCAAGGGACATTTCGGAGATAGGCTCTGGAGGGACTGGTCATTGGACTTGGAGGGAAAGGAGTAAAGCATGTGCAAGAGTGCAGGCTAACTCCTGGGATTCTTAAATGCATGTTGGTGGCGCCATTTACCATGACAGGGGAGATCCCAGGCTTAGGGGTAAAGCTGGGTTCACTTTTGGAAATGATGACTTTAAGAGGCCTACAGGTAACTGAATATTTGCATTCAAAACAGGTCTGGGCTGGTGATTTAGGAATTGTTAGTCTACAGATGCTAATTGAAGCTATATATATATAGAAGGAAAAGAAAAGAGCTCTTCATAGGGAGCACTAAGAAATCCCATCATATAAAAATGGGTCTTGGAAAAAAAAAAAAAGAAAAAAGAAATGGGCCTTGGAAGAGGTAGGTACTTGTAGAGAAGCCTGAAAAAGAGCCACCAGAGAACTAGGGAGAAAACCAGGAGAGTGTAGAAAATATATGGAACCAAGGGAAAAATATAAAGAAGTGCTCAACTAGAAGACAACTAAAAACTAATGACTGAAAAGCATTTAGATTAGTTAGGAATCTTTCTTGCTTTAAGTGACAAGTATGTAAATTAATAGCAAGTGATAGAACCAATGGCTTAAATAAGTAGATTATTTTTCTTCCATATCAGGAAATCTGGATTTTGATGACTCCAGTGAACTGTATCTAGGTCTTTTCTATCTTCTTCATACTGTGCTGTTAGCATTTGTTTGCCCTCAAGCATGTCACTTAATGGCCACATTATGACTACTTCATTTCCAGGCATTACATCTGTGGTTCAGAGTGCGAAGAAGGGAGAATGATACCAGCAAACCCTTCTCTCAAATTCTAAGTAAGCTTGTTTCCCAGAAGCCCCATAATGACTTCCCCTTACATCTTATTGGCTAGAAATGGATCAGATGGTCTCCCTTATGTACAAGAGAGGTGAGAATCTACTCTTCCAGCTTCTACACTGGGAGGCAAAAGGGAGGAAGCTAGAAATGGCTTTCTGGTACCCAAACCAATACTGGTGTTCTTTGGACTTGGAGAACATGGTATAATTAGTGGCTGTGGTGAGAGCTGTCCTAGTGAAATCGAAGAGGAGATAA